TATTTTAATTATTAAACTATAAATTTAAATATATATATATATATATATTTTATTTTTCTTATAGATTAAAATTGGTACAAAAACCTGCTAGAAAAGTTACTTACAGAATTTTTTTCCTATTTAAAAAATATTACTTGCAAACTTAATTTTACAAGAATATTTGTAAGAAACAAAATAAAATTTTTAGAACATTTTCTGTAAAATTTGCAAAAATTTCTTAAATTATTTTTCGTAAAAGTTGTAGAAAAATATTCTTTTTTTAATAGTGTAATATATATCCTCCTCTCCATGCATATCCCTCTCAAACAAGTGCAAAATCACCCTAACAAGCATCTTGTAGAACAAAAGGTATGCCACCAAAACCCGTAGGTTTCACTCGATCCAAAATTACGAAAACTTCCAAAGACGTATGTAGTAAAGACATAATCTAGTTACGAGTAATACTAGGATGACCATCCTGAATATAATGTTGAAACCAAAGAGCTAGATCATCATAATAGGAAGCAATAGCTGAGTGATATTGCATTGAACGCCATGTTTGTTAGGTCAAGGGGCAATCACATGAAGCATGTGAGTCCAAGTTTCTTGCTCTGCACCACATAAGCAACAAGAAGAATCAAGGGAAAGATGCCGCGAAACACGAAAGGAGTTATTAGTAGAGAGAGATTCCCCTTATAGGCCAAGTCAAATGAAGTGTTTGATATTTTTCAAGAGTTTAGATTTCCACACTCGGGACCAAGACTTTGTACAGGAATGATGAAAGGTTGGCTCATAGATTAACCACTAATAAGCGAATTTTGTATCAGATTTACCCGAATTTGAGTGACACCACATTATAGTATCAGACATGTTGGTATGAAAGAAGATATGTGGGAGGAACTCACGAATGTCACATGGGATAACTGTAGTCAAAACATCAAAGCGCCATACCCCATCAATGTAGGCATCACAAACCCACATATGCATATCCCTTTCATGGACCCTGTTAACACAATGATGCAACCATTTTAAGGACATGTATTGCTTCATTCACACGGTTTCTGTTTCTATTTCTTTATCTGTTCTCTTTATTTGTTGTGATATAACCATTTTAGAGTGCAGTTTTTCTTTCTTACTTCCTCTTACCATCAGTGTTTTTTTTTAATTTTTTTATATATATATATATATATATTTTATTTTATGTGAGTTAATCTACTACCAAACGGGTCTAACATGATGGATGCCTCCCATTGATCACAATTTACGATTATCTACTCCCTGATATCTAATTAGGGGTGTGCAAAAAATCCAAATTGATCCGAACCGATCCATAACCGATCCGATCCATATTAAAAAATCCGATCCATTTTGAAAAAAAATCCGAACCGAACCACTTTATAAACCGGTTCAGTTATCCGATCCATTTTTACAAAGTGGATCGGTTCGGTTCAGTTTGGTTTTCTAAAAAAACCGATCCATATATGAGTAAAAAAGTGGATAACTGCACCGTACCGAACCGATCCAATTTCAAAAAAACCGATCCATATTTTAAGAAAACCAAACCGGTCCACTTTATAAAAAATGGATCGATTAACCGATCCACTTTTATAAAACGGTTCGGTTCGGTTTGGATCGGTTTTTTGAAAAAACCGATCCATGAACACCCCTATATCTAATGAACTTATTAATCATAATTCAAAGATTAGTCTAGAAATATATGCATACCAGGTGAACATAACTTTGATAGAAATGAGTTTTAGATTCTTAATGTGTACAATTTAAAGTTGAAGTCGAACAATAATAATTGTACATTTTAGAGTTACATTACACACGTACAATGTAGCATAGATGTGAAACTCTAAAGTCTAAACTTCTCACTATTATAGACCAACTTAATGAGCAAAGATTTGACCATTCAACACAAAATCTTCCAATTAAAGCTCATATCATAAGAGAAGTGGTATGTTTGAATCCTATTGCATATTTTCTTTTTCTTATTTCATTCCCACCTCTCAAGATTCACAATTTATCCTAACAAAACCCATTTTACATCTAATCGCACTTTCTTGACATTTTGCTAATACCAAAGAGAGACAACACTGGTGGTAATAAAATCAACTTAGTGAGCATCAAAGTGATTCTGTAGACTGAAAATGAGACCAATATTCTTGGACAAGTTGTCTGAACAACGATCCTTCTCTTTTCATCAAGGCATTTGGCTCATCGTACTCGACTACTTTTCCTGTAAATAAGATCATAAAGTTCTTTTTCTTTGATGAAAACAAACAATTGATCAAGCATACTACTTACTTTTCTTTTTTTGAAAGAAGTTCAGTGTGAAAATCAAGTGCTCCTTATTTTACATGTTATTAATATGCGCCACAGAAATTGAAATGTTAAATTTACCCTCTAAGAAGGTAAATGCAACCAATCCTTCAAGTTAAAACAAACCTATATTTGGTTTGTCAAATCAAGTAGTATAGGTTGAATTCTATTGAGAAACAGATAGTGAACTCATTGTTTACAGTTTACACTTTTACTTTATTCACCTACAAATGAAGGTGGATTTATGGACTAGTCTGAGAAAGTGTTTGTTAAATGACAAAAAGGGACTACTAACAGTCATTATGCAACTTACCATCACTGATTGCAAGAACCATAGTGCAATCCATCACAGTTGGTATTCTGTGTGCTACTGTGATCACAGTACAATCAACAAATTCAGTCCTAATGGTTTTCTGCAGAATCAAATCAGTTGCGCTATCAATTGATGCTGTTGCTTCATCCAGCACCAATATCTTACTACTTCTCAAAATAGCACGCCCCAAACAAAATAGTTGCCTTTGTCCCATGCTCCAGTTTGATCCATCTTCAACAACTGGTTAACAATTTAGTATTAGTCATTACTCACTAGGAAGATACAAAGTAGTGCTTGCTTACTACATAGTTATAATAAACAAACTTGGAAGTGTACCTGAGGAGTTTAGGCCCTCTTCTTTTTCTTGGACAACTTCTCGCAACTGACACTTCCCGAGAACCTTCATATTAAGCAACAATTAGTCCACACGTGTTATGCAAAGCTAAGATAAACAGAATGTAACAAAGTTTTACCTCCCATATCTCTTGATCAGAGTGTTGAGATAGAGGGTCCAGATTGTATCTAACTGACCCATTAAAAAGGGTAGGATCCTGAGGTATAACACCAAAACGTGACCTCAAATAATGAAGGCCAATAGAAGAGATGTCTATGCCATGAACTACAATTTTTCCACCAGCTGGCTCCACAAGACGAAATAAAGCACCTATAAGTGTGGATTTCCCACTGCCTGTCCTGCCAACAATTCCAGTTTTGTGGCCTGCTTTGAATGTGCATGTGATTCCATGGAGTATAAGTGGTCCATCAAGCTTGTATCGTACCTGTCTTGGTATAAACAAGTAAATTATGCAGTTCATTTCAACATTACTTAACAGTGTGCTTCATATTCAAAAATATGTACTAATTACCTTTAAGCCATTTATTTCTACTTCACCTTCATTTGGCCAATTCAAAGGAGGACGTTTTGCTTCTATTACTTCTGCGGCCTCACTTTGTATGTGCATATATTGATTTAGCCTCTCCACAGATATTATATAATTTGCAAGAGTGCATTGACTTTGAATTGAAAGTACTAACGAAAAGTTTAGTGTAAGGCCATAAGAGAGAGCCATGCCAATAAACCCTGAAAGAAAGTTATTGAAATTAAGAAACTTGTATCAAAAGGGATAATGTTATCATTTGATGATAAAAGAAACATAATTCGAAGATAATTATAATACTCAGTGACATTTTAGAGGCTACAATGACCAAGTCTCACCAGAGGAGAAAGTCCCAGGTGGAAACAAGACCATGCAAAGCGCCGCGGAGGCAAGAACAACTGCTGCTACAATTTCTAAACGTTGGATCAACCACTCATTTGAGGAAAAACTATGGAAGAAAGGACTAGCATTGATATCAATTAAATCAAGATTCTTTGCAAAGAAACGATCTTCCTCCTCAAAAGCCCTTATTGTCACTACTCCAGCAACACTTTCAGCAATATGATTAGCTATGAAGGATTTTGTTGTGCCGTTCATCCGCATTACTTCTTTAGCTGAGGCAAAGTAGTACCTCTATTTTAAAAAAACAAACATATTTTACCATGTTTACTTTCCAACGGAGAATATTTCAAATAATATAAAAAAATTAACAAGTTACCAAAAGGTAAAAGGTAAAGGGGTGAAACTTGCAAGTCTCCCTCACCCACTACCTTAAACCTTCTTGCAAAGAAGAAAGAGCATTATCAAATTAAAATTTGATGTACTTCTCAAAGTTAATGAAAAAAGTGCACACCATTTCACTGTTGCAATATAATTCAATGAAGAATTTGTGTTACCTGCAAGCGAATTGCAATATAAACAAGTGGTGTAGAGATAATCAACACTGGCCAAGTGACAATTGCTAAAACTGTAAGAGTTGAATAAGTATTTATGGTAGCTCCCACAACAAAGGTGAGGCTAAAAGGGATATCAAGATCCACAATGCTTAGATCTGATGAGACCTAAAAAAAGAAAATGACAGTCATTGCACTATATTACTTCCATTCCATCACATTTCACAAGGAAATAAATTGTTTAATATACTTACCCTACTAAGTATCCTTCCCAATGGTGTAGAGTCATAAAATGACATTGGTGCACGAAAAAGTGAGTTCATTAACTGTAAAAAAAGATACTTTGATGATTGTAAACCCAAAGAAACAAGAAGTAGACTTCTGATCAACATGAAAAGTATTGAAATAACTCCAATCAAGAAGTAAACAACAATCAATCGCATCATGCTGACGTGGGGATTGTCAACATTAGTAGCCAACCACGAGTTTTGCAATATCTGGCCAATCACAAATATAAGGTGGCAAAGAGCAGCCACAGAAAAGTACACATAGCATTTCAATTGATTCAGATATTGTAAGTAAGGCTTGAATCCTGTGTCTCCTGTCTCTCTTTCTTCTTGCTTTATTAATTGATTTCTATGTGCTTCATGGAACTGATTCTTCATGAAAGCTTGTGTAATATCTTCAGCAGAAGTTGGATGTCTCTTGGAAGATGTAACATTCTTAAGGTTGTCAGAACCAGCAGTTTCCTTGTGAGCATTGACGAGGTTCTGGAATTCTTTGCTCCAACTCAATAGATGATGATAAGGAGCAGCTTCAAGGATTTCCCCATCTGACATTAGCTATATATAAAAAATAATAGAATAAACGAGTTCATGATGGAATAATAAGTATCATCAAACTAACAACAATTTACTTTTCACTTAGCCACATTAAAATGAGTGTTGCACCAAACTAATAAATTATAAACAAGAGATCAGATATCAAGGTGGGAAAATTAATGTATTCTTTCTGGTAGATTCCTCCTATCTTTTTCCATGACTTCTTTGCAGAAAAGTTTTAAAATTATATGAATAGAATTGTTAGTTATGATATAAGGGCAACAATGTAGCATCACTAAACAAATATCCCCTTCTCATGCCACTCTAAATAGGTAGAAACAAGATAAATAGGAGGGATATGGAGACTACAAAATAAAATCAGTGACCTTAAATTTATTACTATTAGTTACACACATGAAACAAAGAGAAAAAAAATATGAAAATGATATATCATTTCCCTAAGATGAATGAATTACCAAAACAAAATCAAATGCTGGGAGGAAGTCAACTTGATGAGTTACGAGTAAGACAGTTTTCTCTCTAAGTCCTTCCATGATGTATTCCTGCCAAGTTTCAAAGCCAACTTTAAGTAAAGAATGGCACTGAAAATATAAATGCAGAATGTGAAGGAAGGAAGATGTCATTACATTAAACAAATTTGTGGCAGTGTGTGCATCAACAGCACTGAATGGATCATCCAAGAGATATACATCAGCATTCTGATAAAGAGCACGTGCAAGTTGAATTCGCTGCTTCTGACCTCCACTTAGGTTAACTCCTCTCTCACCTATTTCGGTTAGGTCACCATAGGGAAACAACTTCAGGTCCTTCACTAGTGAAGATCTATGGAGTGTTTCTTGATATCTTTCAGCATCCAAATCAGATCCAAACAAAATATTTTCCCTTATGGTACCTGTTTGTATCCATGCTGTTTGAGAAACATAAGCAAACTTCCCATAAACTTCAATCTGTAATTCAGAGATGAGAATCAGACACCTATAAATGTTTTGGCTAGAATGAAAGAAAGAAAAAATAAATCCCTCCCTGTAGTAAATTGAATTTATGTGCTAAATATAATTGTTGATTAGTAAGTAAAAGTGTCAGCAAGTTATAATTGATTGGAGTTTCACAAGATTTAGAGCCTGTTGGAATACAAGTCAGAAGTGTTTTTAGAAGTTTATCTAATGAAAATAAAGAGTTAAAAGTAGAGAAACTTCTAGAAACACTTTCAAGCTTGTATCCAAACAGGTTCTTAGTAGTTTATTCTATGAGCATAAAAGGAGTAAAAGCTTACCGTTCCTTTTATAAGAGGAACTTCTCCAAGAATTGTTGATAAGAGGGTTGATTTGCCTGAGCCAACTTCTCCACAAATAGCCACCTTTTGCCCATGTTTAACCTCCAAATTCATGTTCCTCAGTGTAGGCTTTGACACACTATCTTCCCACGAAAAATCGGCATGTTTGATTAAAATAGGGTCTTTGAGATTGTTAACAAAACACTTGTTCCTAAAATATCCGCTTTGTAGTTCTGGTGCCTCAAGGAACTTAATAATCCGAGTGAATGCAACCTTTGCTTGAATGACCACCCCGATTACATCTGGGATGGTTGTAATGGGCTCTTGCACAATCCGTAAAGTTGCCACAAAAGTGAAAACATTATTTGCATGCAAAGGAATTTTCAGGAAGTAACATACCCCAAAGGAAGCAGCAGAGACCAAAACAGGCGAAGACCAAAAGATAAATATGTTGTATGCCTTTCTTAGTTGCACTGCAGCCAACAATTTGAGTTCCACTTTTCTTAACTTTTCTATAGCTTTTTTAAAATGGTTTTCCCAAGCATATAGCTTAAGAACTTTCATATTCACAAGAGCCTCAGAACTAGCCTTCAATCTCTCATCTTGTGCCCCCATAAGTTCGCTCTGAAACTTGTGTTGCAACTTTGCTATTGGAGTATTGCATAGCACAGTGAGAACAATCACCACCAACGAGGCGATTGTTGCGATCCCAATGGCACGAAAAAGTACCACTAAAGCAATACATATTTGGACACTTGTTGTCCATGTTTGGTGGAACCAAAATGGGAATTCTCCAATTCTATAAGCATCCACAGTCACATAATTCATTATCTCACCACTAGAGTGTGTCAATCTAGCAACATTGGACAACCTCAACAACTTTTTATAAATGGCTGCAGTAAGCAGTGACCTAACTTTCATCCCAACAAGTCTACTGCGGAAATACCACTGCCTTTGTGATAAAGACTCTATGATCTTTATAATGAAAAGTGATAAGACCAATACATAACCCTCATCTTTGAAACTTTCATTACCCTCAGCAATCAATATAAAGGCGTTTAGAAGTAGAGGACCAGAAGACAGAGTCAGTACCTTAAGCAATGCAAAGAGTCCTGATATCAGAATCTCTTTTCGATGGCACAAAATTATTATCCACAAAATCGATACATGTGATGATGGGTCTTTTTCTATCTGTTTGTTCAATTGTTCTTCAAACGACAAATAACAACTTTGTGCTCGATCTAACTCCCGCAACTTCGGGATATCCTCATCCTCGAGTGTTTTCTCTTGACCCTTTTTCATAAGTGGATTCAACCACCAAAAGGACATCATACTAAAGAATCCAGCATTGGCAAATGGAGTCACACACCTATTAGGATCATCGTCATTGAACTGGTCACTTAAAGGGGCATAAAGGCCTTCATTAGTTTCTCTGTTAGTGTCTTCATATTTAGATACTCTGTAAGTGCATAAGAGTAGTAAAAATGCTCCAGGAAAACATAGAACATCTAAAGCTACCTTCAAGGATAGTTCTCTGTTGCTAATTGAATAAGACATGGAAAGAAGACAGAAAATACCATAAACGAAGAATGTAAGTATAGAGAACAGCCATAACCATACCCTTGAGAGTTGTTTCAGCTGAAGACTAACAGTTAAACCTACTAACAACCATGTGAATCCCTGAAAGAGTTCTAGCAACCACCAATTAATGGGAAAAGTAGTATGGTTTTTCCTTAACTTCTCCTCTAAAACCCAAATGCCTAAGCACAAATGCATCAATCCAAGAGAACCACTGGCTATGGAAGAAAATAGCTGCAAATTTGAATATCTTTCAACTCGGATTAGACCATGACATGGCCTTGACAAAGACTTCTGGATCATAGCGAATGACAGCATGATCAACAGTAACACATCAAAGCAAATGATCAATAAATGGTTGATGCATGCAGAAGGATCTGTCAAAAACTTGAAATCATAATAGAAAGGCTTTCCTACAGTCTTTGAACAAACAGAATTCCCACAAATCATGCTCCAAAAATCTTCCATCTTTTTGGTAGTTTCTCTTTGCTTTTTAAACTCTGTAACATAAAGGATATAACAGATTCATGTGTGCCGACAGTGAGAAAAACTGTCTTGAAACATGAAAAATATTGAACATAAAACTGGATCATCAAAAAGAAAAATAAGGAACTCAACTAGCTAGCTAGTAGCTACGTAACTTATGGATGCAACTCTCATGACTAGAACCCTTTTTGCTTAAAATAAGACCAGTGATTAGGCCAATTCTATCATACGGTTAAAAATTCAACTTTTAAATTCTGGAACATAAAAGTTTTGATATCATGATAAGAACTGATTCTTCTAAAAGCACATAATTAGTTAGGTAAAGGAGGCTAACGAGTGGTTTTCTATCTAATATTGACAAAAATCACGACCATGAAGCTAATTTTATGGGGAAAAAAGACCACTAACATAGAAAACAAACCAAAAAATAAAAATAAAATTAAAAGGCTATATCTCAAAATGTGATTAGTTTACCCTAACTGTGGATACTAGTTTCAAAGACAAAGTTCCATGTACATCCACCACAAACAAGTGTTACGAGAGTCTTTTTAAATAAAATTCTTCAGAAGCATTTATTGAAGAGATAAATAAAAAGAAAAAGTAAAATAAATTTCTCCATAATTCCTACTTCTAAAATCCTTTTCTTATTAACTTATTGAGAATCTTATTAACTTATAAAATCCGTTTCTTATTAACTTCTTGAGAATCTTATTATGTTTTAGCTTATAGAGAAACTTATTCGATTTTTCTTCTTATTTTTTTCTTCATAGAATTGCATCTTCAGTTAATAACGTAACTACCTACATACCTTTCGATGCATGCAACAAGAACCGGTTTAAGCCTTGTCACAGAAGGGTCACACAGATACTTAATAACTCCATGACACCCCTGAAACTATTTGGTTTAGAAAGTAGAGGAACACAGTGATTTAGAAGGTAGAGATGAAAAAGAAAGTGTTAATATATATAGAAAACTTCAAGTGTGCAAAAGCCTCTTTTATGTAGTTGAGTTCCACTGAGACATTATAAACTATTGTGTCATTGAGGGAAGAAAACAAACAATAAATAACAGTACATTGAAAGAAAGAACTATGGAAGCATTTAAAGTTCGAGGTGAAAATTGAAGAATTGGAAGAAATGTGAGTGTGTAAGAGAGCAAAGAGCATTTATGAGGACCTATGAGATGGCCTAAGTCGTCATGGCTCACGATTTTTTCACATTGTTTTATAAAAATATGTTAATTTATTTTTAATATATTTTATAAACAACACGTATTTTTTTTTTCTCTCAATACAATATTGTTGAAGTTGTATATGACTATCATACGTGCTTGGTACGTAGTTGGTAATAATAATTTGTTGTTTTATTATTTACGAAAGTAATAGAAAATATTATTTAACAAATTAATTATTGTAATAATTTTCATTTGAGCAATGCTTTGTTACCTCTTTGGAAGTTTAGGAGGGTGTGTGGACTGTCTTTGGATAAAACCAAGAGACGAGAGAAAAAAATGTAGTGATTGGCTAAGTATTGTACCAATGTGTTGATTTTCGAATGCAAGTGAAAGAAAAATAAAGAAGAAGATGGATTTTCTTCTTGCTTGATGTTAATTATAGTAACATTCGATCTTCATTAGTCACGGGCTTCTAATTGCTTATTTATTTATTTATTATTTATTTTTTTATATATGTGTGCTTACTTTCCTGAGTAGGAAAAATGTAGTGATTGGCCAAGTACTCTACAAATGTGTTTACTTTTGTTTTTCTATCTACAAATGCCAGTGAAAGAAATTAAAGAAGGTGGATTTTCTGCTTGCGTGATGTTAATTATAGTACCATTGGATCTTGATTAGTCACGGGCTTCTAATAAGTGTTATTTATCCGATGCTTAATTTCTTGAGTAAGAAATGGAAACAAAAAGTTTCATTCAAAATAATGTAGCTTAATTAAGAGGGAAATATATCTTTTGGTCTCTCTAACATTTTTTAATGTTTGATTTTAGTTTTTCAAAAAAATAAGTTTTAATATGATCTCTTTAATTTAAAAATGTACTAATTTTGATTTTTAAGTAATTTAAATAGTATTTTATAACCACTTTTAAACACTATTTAAAAAATTTTAAGGATTAAAAAAAATATTTTTAAATTAAAAATACTAAAATAATACTGAATTTTAGAGGGACAAAACATATATTTTATTTTTAATAATAATAATGATGATAATACCTCTATTATTTTTTAATGACTGTGATTGAAGGTATACTAAGCAATTGACGATAAAATAGTATGACTTCATTTATATTCGACGTTGTTTAATTTAGTTCTTAAAAATAAGTAACATTGCTTAATAACATCATTGAGTAAGATTTAGAGTTTTTAATAAAAGAACAGTTGCTTACTTAAGTTACTATAAAACATTAAGGAGGATTAACGATGAGTGGCCAGATAAAATCAAATATATTAAAAATAAGTTACGAATTCAAGTGAAATTCAACTATTAGAGCGGAAATTAGTGAATTAACATATTCTTAAATTTTATGTGGATCATAACAAGGGATATCCACAATAAATAATTAAAAACCCCAAATGAAATTTTTGGATTGAAGATGCTCTAGAGTACTGTTAGTATTATTAGTCAGTCATTTAGCTGGCACATTCTAGTGATATAAATGTTTTGGAATAATTTTTTTTTAGAAAAATGTAATATTACAATAAATATTATATAAAATGACATATAAAAACTGTCATTATAAATATAATATATGTAAGTATAAATCTATTTGACATATAACTGAATTATACATAATTTTAGTAATTTTGAATGAGATTCAACATATATTGTATGTCACTATAACATATATATACCTACACTTTTTAATAATATATCAACATATATTATATTTACAGTATAGGTAAAAATAGTTTTTAGCAACAAATAATGTGTTGCTATGGGGTGTATGTCATTCATTACATGCCAATTTTTTTTTGTAGTATGTGATACCATGTATATCTCGCATACGCCTATAAATTATAATTTAGAATCAAAGGATATAAAAATACAAAATTCATGCATAAATAATCAAAATGTATTCTCTAACATGAGGTAAACAGTCTCATACAACGATCTCTCAAAACAAAAGTCCATAATAAAGCATAATTACATATCCAAGCATAAGTCTTATCCTAAGAATAACAAGAACAATCATGGTCTAAGCCCCCAATGCCACATGTCCTATCAAAACACTCCTAGAATAAGGTCTAGATCTTGTCACCAACCTCATCAATATTCTGATGAACATCACTTGCAACACATACATAACAAAAACATAGAAAATAAAGAGAGCGAGAAACTTCTCACTTTAGCACATGACATGAAACAAATGATGGATAGCCAAACACACTCAACATATCCTTTATAGCAATAACATCAATATTATATACATAATTCACATTATCAAAAGACAATAGCTCATTCACATTATATCATATCATTACTCCCAAGGAACAATATAGTCACATAAATATGAGATGCAATAGATATAGACTTCGATTTGCATGCATGTGATGTCCATCACAAAATATACGCAGTGCATATATATATATAATATATAGGGAGCGTATCAAGTAAGAAATTTTTATTGTGAGAAGGTGAGAAGGTGGAAATATAACCTTTAGATTAATTTTCTCTCACTTGATTAAATCCCAAATTTTCTCTCACTTGATTAATCTAAGAGTTATATTTCCACCTTCTCACCTTCTCACCTTCTCACAATAAAAACTTCTCACTTGATACGCTCCCTATATATATATATACATATATCAATTTTTTGATTTGTGTGCATATAATGCACGTCACACAAATTTTCTATCATATCATAAATCACTACACATACTCGACAATTTTTCATACATACGATTCGTCACATATATGATTTGTCACTTACAACTCAAGTGTATCACTTAATCATTCAATTACTCAACTCATGTTCAACCCATACTCATCAAGCATTAAAGTCACACAAGAATCCACTTCAAATCCAATACAAGACCAGTTCCATATATGAGATGGCACTCGACAAAAGTTAACCTATGCCTAATACAACACATTTAGAGAGAACTCATAACTCTCAAGATGATTTGTGTTCAGTGTGATTCATATCACGCTTGATGAGATAGCAACAGGGAGTTCCCTGGAACTCCTATGCCCAACAAGACTTTACTCGCACCTAATTTGAGTGGCATAAAGAGCAACTTTTGCTCTCGACCTCGATAGTGCTCCATAAGACATAACCCACACCTAGCATAAGGGGAATAGAGAGCACACTTTATTCTCAGCCATAACGGTGCCTGACTAGATATGACTAGCGCCCAACGCCATATCGAAAAACCCCAAATTTGGTATAAAACACAACTTCATGAAAAAAGATCCAAAACATGCATTGATCATTTCAATCGGTAAAATGCTTCAAAATACCCATATCAAGCATCTATAAGGCATGAAATACATACACTTACACACTTTTACTAATTACTCACACAATAACACCTCAAACGCATACTTTTAAGGTAATTACAGAAATTCACAAGCAACTCAAGTCATACCAAAAAGATTCAATATATGAAATTAACCATTATTAATTACGATTAACGTCAATAGAAAAGTAGAAGAGTCATGACAAAGACAACAAATGAGAAAACACAAACATTCAAAATTCCCCTTTCATACAATGCATAAATAGATAAAGGTTGGGGCTCAATCTCACTACCCAACAATTATCCCACGCCTAGAGTGAGAATTCTCACTCCCCTCTTACCTTGATCAACAAATAGTGAAAAATGTGGACATTTATGATGATACCCTATAGTCTCTTCTCCTCTTAGTGCTTTAGAGTGTAAAACCTAATAAAACTAAAAGTGTAAGAAGAAAACCTATGTATCCCTTTTAATTTTAAAAAAGCTGACTCAACCTCCTTTTAATTCAACCAACAGTTCACTACTAGGAAAATATTATTTTATGTCATTATATTTACATCAGTTGTTCAAGAAACGATGTAAAAAATATATGTGGTAGAAAACTTATAATTAAGTAGAAAATATAAGCAAACGATGTAGAGGTTTTAGGGAAAACCAATGTAAATTTTGTTATATTTAGGGTTTTAAGCAAAGTAAGAATGGGTTGCAACCAATCGAAGATCGAGAACGAGGAAGCAGTGGCGCGATGGAAGGAGAGGAAGCTGTAAATGAAGAAGTCGGTGTCCTCCCGCAACGCATTCGCCGCCGCCCACTCGTCCTACGACACCTGCCTGAAGAACATCGGCGCCGCCCTCGGAGACAAGGACGTTCTGCCGCCACCCTGCTGCCGCCCCCCGTGTCACGTGTCGTCGGGCGCGGTGTGCGCGGAGATTGGGGAACGAGCTGTACAGAAGCGGCAGCTTCGCGGAGGCGCTGGCGCTGTACGATCGCGCCATCGCCATCTCGCCGGGGAACGCTGCGTGCCGGAGCAACCGCGCGGCGGCGCTCACGGCGGTCGGGAGGCTCAGCGAGGCCGTGAGGGAGTGCCTTGAGGCTGTGAAGTTGGACCCTGCTTAAGAGACTTGCTTCACTTTATCTTAGGTAATTCTGTCACATGAAAATTTGAATTTGGATTTTGATTTGAATTTGAGTTTGTTGACATTGGGATTTTGAATTTGGTGTAGGTTTGGACAGGTTAAAAATTCGCGGCGGAACTTGTGTCTCTCTGGGATTCAAGATGATCAATCTGAGGAGAAGAAGCTGTTGTTGTTGGAGAAGCATTTGAATCGCTGTGCTGATGCAAGAAAATTTGGTGATTGGAAGAGGGCGCTTAGGGAATCAGAAGCAGCCATTTCTGTTGGAGCAGATTTTTCGCCTCAGGTACTTTTCGAATTTCTCGTTTTAACATTGTTTATGTTAGACATGTAATATAGAATATAAAATTGTTCACGTGTCTTCAGTTGGTAGCGTAAAATTTTAGGATTGTTGAGGTGTGATTGATTTCTGTTTCCAAAAGCTGTTTGGAGTTTTCAAAATGCAACTAAACAAGGTTGCTGAGAAAGCTGGTGGAGGGTGTGGTGTGAGAGTGAGACTGATGATGTGCGCTTCAAGAAGAGTCCTTGTGGCTCTGTTGATGGGGATGCTAAGAAGAAGCCTGGTCATGCTGTTTCCAAGGGGCATAAGAATTATGATTTGATGCTTAATCTTCAACTGGGTATTAGGTGTGTATCTTAATGTTATTGTTATCTTATGTTATCTACATTGCTACGTTTTTTTTTTACTTGTGGGAATCAAATACTAAGATCTTTGATCTACATTGCTACTTTAAGGTTGATTGGTGATCGCATTGCTAACTTTGATTTGTTTAGGTACTCTGTTGGGAAGCATGCTTCGGTTTTGAGAGAGCTTAGGCCTGGGGATTTCGATCCCAAGGAGAAATTCTAGACGAGATTCCCACTGGAGGGTTCTAAGTTTACACCTCCACATCAGTTAGTGGACTTCAGGTGGAAAGATTACTGTCCCATGGTGTTCAGGTATCCATATGAAATGAGAGAAGCATTTTTAAGAGAAAAAATATAATAAACTTTTCTATAAGCTAAAATTAGTTTATGTATTTGCGGATTACATGCTTGCTATTTTCAGCGATGACACACTGAGGGAGATGTCTTCTCCGGGTAAAAGTCGTGTTACATTTCTCATTATCTATTCTTTATTTGCCTTTTTTTTAAGGGAGGGGTGGGGCGATTGTGTAGGAAGGTTGGCCTTGCCTGCTGAGTCTTGTCTTAAATAAGCCAGTTTTTATCTGTGGATTTATGCTTTTAATTTCTTATGCAGGTAGGAGCTAATGTCCCAACAGAAAGTTTTGATTTGTCACCTATTGACCAGATTTTTGTTTGAATGGGGGCCAAAGATAATATAATGGCTGGCCAAGGTACATTTTTAACTGAGCTTTCAGAAACTGCACCAATGCTGGTAAGTTGTCCCTTTGAGTATCAACTTGTATCACTGGTAATTAAGGTTTAATAGGCATAAAATTTGGCTGCTCTCAAGTCACTAGAAAGCACCTGTGAAATAGTTGTATTTCAAGTGATGTTTTCTTCTTTTGAATATGAACAAGATTATTTGGTTTATGATAGACTTTTTTCTCTAAAATGTGAGCAGCAATGACACAACTTGGAGGAAGAAAACTTTTGCCTTTGCATTTTTTTCTTTAGAGCTCACTTATTTATATAGTTATATGTTTTGTCCGCAATGGATTAATTAGTTGTGTGTATTTCATGAAGCTTTATTATCCCTTTTATTTGGCTTGTTATGCGTCACTGATGTGTTTGAATCTGATCTTATTAAAGCATTGTTTCTTTCTGAATATGTACTTTTGATGGTGAGTAGTCATCAGCCACACTAATATTAATTTCAAACTCGTGAAGGATCTTTATCAATTTATACAAATTTGCTAGATATTGGATATGCTGATATGCATTTTCTTACATATATAGTATTGATTTTAGAAGATGATTTATCTGTTTACTGCCTAATTTTTTATTCTTTTTTTTTGAAGGCTGATTTGAAGAAGTATAGTCAGAAATAATCAAAAAATAAGCATGATTTTTTTTTTAAGAAAAAAATGCAATCTTCATCGATTCTCAAGAAAACCAATGTAGATTTATGCGTAAATCTACATTGGTTTTTCAAAATCGATGTAAAAATGTATACATTTTCTACGTCACTCTATTTTACATCAGTTTTAGAATCGATGTAGATGACTTTAGAAAATCGATGTAAAATATGCATCTTGTAGTAGTGGTTACACATATTAACCCTAGTTACCTATTCCCTTCCCTTAAAAAAATCATCATAATAATAGCAATAATATAAGACATTATAATATTCTTATACTCGCATATAATTAATTTAAAAAATTATCAAAATATTTTATTTTATAAATAAAATGCTCCATAAAATCAACCCATTAACATTTTAAAGTAAAGCATTTATAATTAATCAAATTAAAAAACATAGGGTGTTACAACTTTCCCCCTTTTAGGAATTTGTCCCAAAAAATACGTGAAGAGAACAAAAATGGGTAAGACTCCTTTATCTGACTCTCCTACTCCCAAGTAGAATTTTCCTCAAGATGTCCTCCCAAAAGGCTCAAACAATTTTAACCAGAGGAATCACCTTACCTCTTAGTTGTTTCACTTTTTTGTTATCAAATTCAAGGACATGAGAAGGGTCCTGTATATACTTTCTAAGTTGAGAAACATGAAAAACATTATGTAAATTTGAAAAGGATAGGGGTAAGACTATTTGGAAGGTTACATCATTAACCTTCTTAAGGATTTGGTAAGGACTAATGAAACATAGAGTAAGCTTGCGAGACTTTAGTGCTCTACCAACTCCAGACTAAGGAGTTACTTTGAGAAATACATGACCTTCCTTTTTAAACTCAATATCCTTTTTTCTCTTATCATGGTAGCTTTTTTGCCTACTCTAGGTTGCTCTCATTCTATGCTAAATCACTCTTACTTTTTTAGTGGTCTATTGTTATCTCAGGCCTTAACATGGAACTTTGTCTTAGTTCTACTCAACATAAATCTCTTACCATAGAGGGCTTCATAAGGTGTCATCCCAATACTAGAATGACAATTGTTATTGTAGGTGAATTCTATCAATGTAGACCCCTAAAATTGTCCGGGTCGGAAAT